TTCTGATATTCATAAAATAATAAATAGCATTGAGTACTGACTACAACAATTAAATTAATTGCTTTAAATGGTCACATACTTGATACGAGTAGTAGCGATCTATCACTGTACCCACCTGAAACAAATGCTTGACAGCTCTGCATAGTTAACCGTTGTTGTAGAGCATTATATTTCATATTTTTAATCGTAAAACTTTATAGTATTTGAATTTGAATATATTCCAATAGTATCTAGCTTCATGATTAAAGATAAAAAATATATATAATGTTCTGAAACAGTTATTTAAAAGGTTTAGAGTTAGTTCAAAACCATGTGATTACCTGTTGAGTGCTGTTAAGTTTGACATTTTAAAGTATTTAACATAAATCAAGTGAGCACAGTGATAGATGACTATAGCATTTGTATGTCGACATACCCATCGGATTCAAATGCTTCAAAACCCTAAATTTTCTCTTAATTTGTAACCAGATGGTAGTAACATATTACTATACTCATTTATTTAAGCTTTAAGACTTCTTATTTTGTAACCTTTAATATGACCCATTTAAGCACTGATCTGTCTTTATACCCATCGGTTGCGAATGCTTGAAATTCAGTCACAACATTGAATTGTCACTATTTCTATTATATTAATTAAGATTAAATTAAGTTGTAGTGGCAACCTTGTACAACACAGCTCAATTAACCAAAATATTGGCTCGTTATATTACCACCGTTGATATACCAGACCTAAGAAACCTCTTTAAAGTTAGAAAACCCTAACAGTTAGTGCACGAACAGCATCTCTTTGGGAATGATTTAGAGTTAGTTACTTTTTAGAGCATTATATTTCGTCTTTCTAATCTAACTAGATAACCTTAATATTTTTAACTGTAGAAAAACTTTCTTAAAAATTGTAGTTCGTTAATATACTATACCCAACAGATCAGATAAGTTACTCTAAACTACTTTAGAGCATCAGATTTTGTTCCTTCAAGTCTAAAACTAGATAATGTTGTTTTTTTTATTATTATCATTAGATAAATTCGCTTATAGTTCGTTTCTCTAATCATGTAACTAAATAGAAGAACTTGATCGTTATTCCCCAGCAGATTAAGTTATTTTGGAGTGACGTATTGCGCATTCTTAAACGTGAAACTAGATAACATTGATGAGGCGCTGTACTTAATAGATTCGAATGCTTTAGAATCTTATACTTTACATCCCTAAACAAAGTGGTTAAAAAAGCTTTAAAAACTACTTATCTTCTCTGTGCATATACCGAGTAGTTTAGTCACTAAATACTTGCGGTTATATTTTTTTTAAATTAATTGAAGAATTGAATTTCAATTATTCTATGATGACTTTGATTTCACTTTCAATTATTAACTTAATTTTTATTAGTGATATAAAACATACATATATTATATTTTACGAAAGGCGTTGTACAAACTCCAATTTCTTGATTGCGGCACTGTATTGTTTACTTTTCAAAAATTTGATACACTAATCAAAATCACATTGAACATAACAGCAACGATGACACATTTTCGTATAAAAATAGATTTATTATTGGAAGACGTCGTTCAACCCTACGAAGCGTTTCGAATAGAAGAGGAACCTACTAGAACACACAAAATGATTTATAATTCTCCGAAAAAGATTTAATCATAATTAAACGTCTGTGTTGTTGGTTTTCGCTTTGCCCTTCAATAATTGATAAGCGCCGCTTGACCCAGTTCGATCAAGCAAACTAATTGACCGAAGACCAAGAAAACAATTTTACTTACATGAAAAGCTTGACGGCAATTGCGGGTAATGGAATTGTTTAATGCAAGGCGGGTTCACGGGCCAATAAAACAAGAAACCGACACTTGATTTCCACTTTCACTGAGGAAAATTTCAAACGCTTTCAGCACTTGCAGCGCAAATTTTTAATCGTAACTTGCGAAGTTGACGACTTGCGGAACGTCTTGTGATATCACAACAGACAGAACTGCGACTAAACGACTAAACGACTTGAGAACTCTTAGAAAAATTCACACTAATTAAAAGGTAAACATTCACGTTTACTTTTCTTTTACTTCTCGAATTTCCGTTTTTACTTTTATTTTTTGTTTACTTAACGTGGAACTGTGAAAGCGAAAACTATTTCTACGGCACTAACGACTTTCGTTGCTCGAGGTTGGATTGTAACTCGCGGGTAACTGAAACTTAACTGAAGTCACGAGCAATGTGTTGCCTTGTTTAATTGAAAAAATACTGTAATAATTGCGAGATATGCTCATAAACGTGCTCAGATACTTTTTGCTTCGCTTGAATTTGTATCTCAAACTCGCAAAATCATTGCTTGCGATGAGTACAAATGAGCGTAAGTCGTTCTGCACTCTACACGACTGACGACTTTCGGAATGCGATCGCGTGAATTAATCACACACTCTAGTAGGGTTTAAGGCAAGAGCATATTTTGAATGTTAAACATTTTCTGGTAGTTCAAAAATTACCCATTAATAAAGTTTAAAAAAGATAATTAATATATTTAGATGTATACCCGTAGAAATATTATTTAAAAATAATTTTATAATGAAAGTATGGACTGTTCTTTTTTGAAGTGGTACATGCTTCATTTCCTTTCATTTTTAATAAGCTTTCTAATAGATTGTCATTATGTATGTTTTAGTATAAATATTATATATATATATATATATATATATATGTATATATAACTCGAATTTTTTCTAACTCGAATTAAATAGAGTGCAACAGGATTCTTTAACTGCATAAGTCGAACCTTTTCTTTGCAAACTGATACTTTGAATATATAGTATATATATATATATATATACATATATATACAGTCAAACTTCTATAACGAATTACCCATAACTCAAACTAAATAGAGTGAAACAGAATTTAGAAAACAAATTACATACAATTACAAAAAAATTCTTTAACTCGAAGTCTCCATAAGTCGAACATTTTCTTTGCAAACTGACAGTTCGAGTTATAGAAGTTATGGGCTGTGTATCTAGTTCTTTGAAATTACCTGAAAGAATACGAAAATAATCTAAAGGGTTTATTATCGTAATATTTGTGTTATATTCTTCAACAATACACAAATTTTTTTCCATAATTTGCAACATGTCCAGAATTTTAGCAAAAATGTAAGGCATCAGAAAGGTTTTTGATAATTTTTTTTTTTAAAACTGTTAATCAATGTCGTGAAAAATTTGCAGGCAAACTATAAGTCAATTAGGCTGATGTTAAAAAAATTAAATAAATATCTAAGAGCTAGAGTATGAAAAATTTAAATTTAAATTTAACTTATGACGTTTTCGATTTGTATATCTGGATTCTATCCAGTTTTGTTCTCGATGTATCAAATTTTATTGTCCAATCGAATATTTTTGTAGTAGTTTTAGTAAACATTCGTATATTTTTAAAAGTACATATATCGAAACATGTTTATACAAAAGTGTGCTAAAACCAGTAATGGACCTATAGCATTCAACTATGGGAAACAACCTGAACATGCAACATCGAAATTCTTCAAAGATTTCAGTCTAAACTTCTACGAGTAATAGTAAACGCTTTATTATATGTAACTAACATCCATCGCGACCTTAGATTAAAAAGGTAGCCTGAAAATACTATAAACGAATACAAATTCAACCCAACACTCTTGTTTCGAATTTAATGTCCCACTCAAAAATTTTTACGAGACTGAAAAGGAAAAAGCCGCTTCAGATGTTTTTATAAAATCCTAATTTAAAAAATTGAGTAGCTCTCCACAGGGAGAACTACCTAAATTGCAGATTATCATGACTTAATTCTTATTTATCAAAAAATTGTATAATGTCAATTTATTATTTGACGAAATAGATATTAAATTTAAATTAAATGTTAGTTTTAGGGTAATCTTGCTATCCTGGCTGGGTAATTTTGCTATATCTAAACTGTTATGATTTGATTTCGAGTGTTATACACTTCGCTCGAGATTTACCAATCGAAAATGAAAATGCAGTAAAAATAAATCTCGATTAAAAAAGTTACCCCAGATTAACCAATCGAAAACGGTAGAAGCGTTTTTAAATAACTAGAAAAGGTTACTTTCCCTCCTTTTTTTATTTCTAAATAAATCTTTCACTTTTTGATAATAAACTGTTTTTACAGATTTTATTCCGTTTAATACTGAATGGAAGCGATATGCACTAACTATATATCTTTCAAGGCGAAAAAAAGTAAATTATTTTCAAAAATTTGAACATATGACCTTAATAAAATAATTTATTTCATTTCTCAATATCTGGTAAATTTACTGATTTTGAATTAAATTTACTGAAAAAAACTCATGCCTTTCTTAAAATTTATAATAAGCACCAAAAATGGTTTAAAACAGCTTTCGGGATATAATAATTTAAGTTCAGAAAATAGCAGAAAGTCAAATCTGGTCTTGTGTTAAAATCTGAAATTAAGTAAAATATTGCTAAGAATATATCATTTTTGCACAAATATAATAACTGCTAGCTTCAATCCGTTTATTCTTTAAACAGAGTTACAAAGCATTTTTTAAAACATTCTTTAAAGCATTTTTCAGGACCAAACCGTAGTGGAATTTAAACCCAAATCCCTCGAGATGTAGTTCGAGCTATATAAACGGTCATTTATTACCTTAAGTGGATAGAAATATTAGTACATGAGGTTTTGTTATCTATACATGAATTAATTTAGCAAGCTTGCAAAAATAAATAGATAAAAATTTTGCTTTAGATATCTTTTCCTAAATTCCTTTTTTGGTGTCAAAAAATGGTAATATTTCTTAAAACGTTTTTTTTTACCAAATAATTTTGGTAATATTTTAAAAATTCCTCCCCTTGAGAGGATTTGAATGGGATTTGAATAAGGATGTCAAAGG